GGTCCCCACACTACAAGAAGGATGTGGAAAAATTGGAAAGAGACCAGCGGAGGGCAACACAAATTATTAGGGGGCTGGAGCACATGACTTATGAGGAGAGGCTGAGGGAACTGGGATTATTTAGTCTGCAGAAGAGAAGAATGAGGGAGGATTTGATAGCTGCTTTCAACTACCTGAAAGGGGTTCCAAAGAGAATGGATCTAGACCAGGGGTCTCAAACTCAAATGACCACGAGGGCCACATGAGGACTAGTGCATTGGCCCGAGGGCCACATCAGTGACACCCTACCCTTGCTGCCCCTGGCCCTGCCCCCACTCCACCCCTTCCATGAGGTCTTGCCCCTTTCCCGCCTCTTTCCTGCCCCTATTCCAACCCCTTCCCTTCAGGGAGCAGTGCGGGGTTCGCGGCGCCACAGGGTAGACAGAGGGGCACGCGGTGTGGGGGTGCGGGGACCTTGGCGGGCTGCATGAAAGAACCCTGCGGGCAGCATGCGGCCCACGGGCCACGTGTTTGAGACCCCTGATCTAGACTGTTCTTAGTGGTAGCAGATGACAGAACAAGGAGTAATGGTCTCAAGTTGCAGTGGGGGAGGTCTAGGTTGGATATTAGGAAAAACTTTTTCACTAGGAGGGTAGTGAAGCACTGGAATGGGTTACCTAGGGAGGTGGTGGAATCTCCTTCCTTAAAAGTTTTTAAGGTCAGGCTTGACAAAGCCCCGGCTGGGATGATTTAGTTGGGTATTGGCCCTGCTTTGAGCGGGGGGTTGGACTAGATGACCTCCTGTGTTCTTTCCAACCCTGATATTCTATGATTCTAACTGCGATAGGGTGATAGACCGCACACACGTCCCTATTTTGGCACCAGCCCACCTTACCACACAGAAAGGGTTACTTTTCTGTGCTTGTGTAGGTGCTAGTGGATCACCAGGTGCACTTCACTGATATCAGTGTGGCTGATCAAGGAAGAACACTGGACTTCTCAAAAAGCTGCAAGCGGGCACATTCTTTCCCAACCGGGAGATTGCCATTGGCGATGTTGAAGTGGCAATAGTGAGTCTGGGGGACCCAACCTACCCCTTGCTTCCCTGGCTCATGAAGCTATACACTGGCCACCTCAGACACCAAGAAAGTTTTAACTACCAGCTCAGCAGGTGCAGAATTACATTAGAATTTGCTTTTGGGAGATCGAAGGGATGCTAGTGGTGTTTACTTACTAGATTGGATCTCAATGAGAGAAACATTCCAATGGTTTCAAAGTAACAGCCATGTTAGTTTGTATTCACAAAAAGAAAAGGAGTACTTGTGGCACTTTAGAGACTAAACAATTTATTTGAGCATAAGCTTTCGTGAGCTACAGCTCACTTCATCGGATGCATACTGTGGAAAGTACAGAAGACGTTTTTATACACACAAACCATGAAAAAATGGGTGATTATCACTACAAAAGGTTTTCTCTCCCCCCACCCCACTCTCCTGATGTATGATACACATTGTAAGGAGAGTGATCACTTTACATAAGCTTATTACCAGCAGGAGAGTGGGGTGGGGGGAGAGAAAACCTTTTGTAGTGATAATCACCCATTTTTTCATGGTTTGTGTATATAAAAATGTCTTCTGTACTTTCCACAGTATGCATCCGATGAAGTGAGCTGTAGCTCACGAAAGCTTATGCTCAAATAAATTGGTTAGTCTCTAAGGTGCCACAAGTTCTCCTTTTATTTATGTCAAGATATGTAAACGGTAATTCCGTGCAGTCTGTTGTGGCTACATTTATACTGACCTGTGTTTTTACATGTGTATATGTAGCTGTGGTTCTCTTCTTGTTCCTCGGTGTGGAACAGTTGGATTAAGGATGTACACTGTGGTATGTTTAGGTATATTTAGGACTGCAACGTCTGCTCAGTGCGGGATCTTTGGGACTGTCGGTCAACCATGCTCTGTAACATTTGTGTTTGTTACTCGAATAACCCCATTATGTCCTGGTGCATTTCTTTGGTGCCTCCTAGTCCTTTTGCCTGTCCTGCAGCAACTGCTCTCTTCATTCTCGGTTTTCCCCTCTGTTATGTTCTGAAGAGTTCTCCAAGACCTTTGATCATGGTCCAAGGCAATTGTGGCCTGGAGGCTCTTGCAGCACATATACTCCCTAGTCCTCTTTCTTTGCCTCCTGATCAGGGTCAGACGTGGCTTGGGCATGGAGGGGGGACTCCTCAAAACCACCTGATAAAAACAGACTGATACACTTTAGAGTTGCAGTCACAACGAAAAGGGAAAGAGAAGTCTCAAAACTCTCTTTGCATTATTTCCACAAATACCTTAATAAAAAATGCTTATTGACATCTGGGTTTTGGAGCATCTTGGTACAGCATTGCTCTGCAGCTCAAACCCTGATGGGTACGGCCTAGCAGGGGGAGTACAAGGGGGTGTTCTATTGCATGTGGCTTTACAGTTTGGTCCTCTTCCTGGTACAGATATAGGGAAATGGCTGTGACTATTAATGCTATTTTTCATAGGCAATGGTGATTTTGGCTAATATCTCACTCCTGAGGGTCACAAAGGCACAGAGAACATGGCTGCTGATGGCTTCCTTAAGCTGCCTGGGCCTGTGTGGAACTAGCTTGTTTACTGCAATGGTGCCAGCTGAACTCATCACAGAGTGGCATGGGAAGGCGTCTTTATCTCAGAGGAAGAAATAAAGCTACCATCTCTAGAATTCTTCAGGAGAGGATTGCAGAAGATCTCCATGAAAGTTTCATCTGGATCTCTTGAGGATAAAAGACATCCCTATTCTGATGAACATAGTACTCCCCATGACCCCCCTCCTAGCCCAACAAGCCAAAAAAATGAAAAGTGAGCCTGAAGTCTGCCTCTGTTTCTTCCATTGCTACCCGAGCACATGACACTGATCTGATGTGTATTGTATAATCAGACTGCCATACAACCCTTTTTGAAATGTATTTTCTAACATTACACCAGTACAGCTGTCAAGGTTCCTCCCCCACTCTGAACTCTAGGGTACAGATGTGGGGACCTGCATGAAAAACCTCCTAAGCTTATCTTTACCAGCTTAGGTCAAAACTTCCCCAAGGTACAAAATATTACACCCGTTATCCTTGGAATGGCTGCTACCACCACCAAACTAATACTGGTTACTGGGGAAGAGCTGTTTGGACGCGTCCTTCCCCCCAAAATACTTCCCAAAACCTTGCACCCCACTTCCTGGACAAGGTTTGGTAAAAAGCCTCACCAATTTGCCTAGGTGACTACAGACCCAGACCCTTGGATCTTAAGGGCAATGAACAATCCTCCCAACACTTGCACCCCCCCTTTCCTGGGAAATGTTGGATAAAAAGCCTCACCAATTTGCATAGGTGACCACAGACCCAAACCCTTGGATCTGAGAACAATGAAAAAGCATTCAGTTTTTACAAGAAGACTTTTAATAAAAAATAGAAGTAAATAGAAATAAAGAAATCCCCCCTGTAAAATCAGGATGGTAGATATCTTACAGGGTAATTAGATTCAAAAAACATAGAGAACCCCTCTAGGCAAAACCTTAAGTTACAAAAAAGATACACAGACAGAAATAGTTATTCTATTCAGCACAATTCTTTTCTCAGCCATTTAAAGAAATCATAATCTAACACATACCTAGCTAGATTACTTACTAAAAGTTCTAAGACTCCATTCCTGTTCTGTCCCTGGCAAGAAGCAGCATACAGACAGACACAGACCCTTTGTTCCTCTCCCTCCTCCCAGCTTTTGAAAGTATCTTGTCTCCTCATTGGTCATTTTGGTCAGGTGCCAGCGAGGTTACCTTTAGCTTCTTAACCCTTTACAGGTGAGAGGAGCTTTCCCCTGGCCAGGAGGGATTTCAAAGGGGTTTACCCTTCCCTTTATATTTATGACAACAGCAATGAAAAGTTGATCCATTGTTTTAACTTGTGAATGGGACTGGTGTCATTTTAAAATGGGGAATAAAGGTGGCTGGGGGGAGGCGGGAGATGAGGTTTGAGGGAAAGGAAAAGCAAAAAAAAAAAAATTGCAAGGAAAACTGCTCGTACACTTACTCAAATTCCCTTCCCCTTTGGCAGTGGATTCATCTGTGCTCACCTGGTGAGACTGGCTAGACTCCTGCACAGTTTTAGACTGTTCCTAGATTGTGGCATGGTTTGAGTTCCCTGCCATGTCTCTCTCCCTGCTGTTCATGGCAGGCATCTCCTTCTCTGGCTCTTCCACAGTCACTATCCTGAACACCATAGTCAAGTCCTGGAATTGACACCACTAGGTCGATGGAAGAATTCTCCCGTTAACCTAGCAGTGGCCTCTCGAGGAGCTGGATTAACTACAGTGACGGAAACCCCCTTCACTATGGTGCCTACAGACGCACAGCTGCCGCACCATAGCTGTACCACTCGAGCATCTACAGTGTAGACAGACTCTAAGAGCTGTACTGTCTTAGTGCAAAGGCAAGAGTCAGCTTCTGTTTTTAGCACACTCTTAGATCACTTGATTAGATCATAAGAAATGCATTCTTCCTTAACTTTCCTGTGAAGTCTTAAAGTAATTCTTGTTTTAAGGTTGTAAATTGATTTAAATGCTTATTGTAGTAATTGGCAAACCAGATACATTGAACCATGGATCTGTTAATTGAATTTCAATTGTAATCTTAATTTGATTGTTGGATTGTGTTCTATTTGATTAGTTCAGGGAAATTAGAAGTAAATCAGTGATATATTTGCTTAGCTTTGTATTTGTTTGCGTATTCTTTTCATAAATCCATAACAACAGGGGACTGGTTTCTCTCTCAAAACTTTTGTGTGAGAGAACAATGTATTCACAGGTAAAGGTAAATACATTGATTAGCTCCTGGACACATATTTTAATTATTTAAACTTATGACCACTACATAGTGTTTCAAACCAATCTGACAAACAGATCTTTTATCTCTGAATGATCATAAAGCTAATGATTTCCATTGCACTGATTTTGTTATATATGCAGGTGACCATTATGGTCAGGCTTTTCAGAGAGGCCCCGGGGGCTTCAGTGAGAACTACAGCTGGAAAATGCAGTTGACATCCAACAGTACAAGGTTTGTCTGTCTGACTGAAACGAAAAGCAGCATGTAAGTACAGTAGCTAATCAAATTATCCATTACGTTATCCTTTACTGTATAAAAATGAGCTTAATGATGTTTGATGACAACTTGATGATGATCTGATAAACTCTTCTGAAAGATCAGAATTGATTTTTTCAGATAATTTTTGCTCTTCCTTTTTATTGTTACTGTACATAAATACATACTACTAAGTTTAAAAAATCCCCTACATGATGTACATTAAATAATCTATTTTATGCTCAGAGTTATCAGTAATTCAGTGTGACGTTAAATGATCTTAACTAAGTTAAAAGGAGAGATTTTAGATTCTAGGCAGCGAGATAAATTGAATTAAAAGTGCTTTCTCTGGCTTTGTTCCTCCTCCCACCTTGAAGGAAATATTTTCCCCTCCTCTTAACCCAACTTTTTGTTTCAGTCACATGTTTTGGTGCCAGGTATTCATGTTTATGACATGATGTTTGGCTTTCATTGTTTAGGTCTGCTATGAAGAGGCTATACAGTACTTCACACACGACAGTGGATTCAAAAGAGATGAAAAAATTCCAGCTTTTGGCACATAGATGGTGGGATGAACAAGGAGAATATTCCATCTTGCATTCTCTGAATGATATTAGAGTGCCATTTATTAGGTACAGTTTTGGAATTACTTTTGCTGCGTAATGCTATTTCTAAGCATCCATCTAAAAACAGTGTAAAATAATTAGACAGGAAAATGAGACATAACTTGTTGAACAATTATAGTTACTTAACACAAATTTTAAAGAAACATTTCATTTAAACCATTTTGTATCTTTGTGCTTATTTATGTTCACTTTATTTCAGAGATACTCTATTGAACATGAGTAGTGATCATCAGTTGGGAAGCCCTCTGTCCAGTGTAAAGATTCTAGATGTTGGCTGTGGTGGTGGATTGTTAAGTGAAGTAAGAAACACAGTTTGTTGTTCCTGCCTCTCTAGCTAAGGCGCATATAAAGACTTTGAAAGGTGTTTGTTTAACTCCTAAATCTCAGATGAGGAGGAGTAGCCCCCGGCCCTTTTCTGCCGTATTGGTACATTGATAAATGCATGTTTTGGAGTGCAGTAAATTCTGCAAACCACATTTAGTATTTGGGTTAAAAAAAGTACACGCAATGTTTTGTTATAATTAACTGAGGTTCATCAAGAAAAGAGAAACGAAAGGAAGAGGTGCTAAAACTTTATGGTTAACCAACAAACAGATTATTCAAATATTGTCACAAACAGCAAAATATCATCAGTCCTTTCTAGTATTCCTTTGGAAAGTCATTAGAAAATAACTTTTATTTGTATTGGGTGGTGGGGGGAGGTTAGTAAAAGATCGCTTTTTATCATGACCACTCTTGTTAATGAAGTAACATGTTTTCCATTATAACCTATTTTCACATGCCTGACACTTTTGAAACTTCTGGGCTTAAATTTTCCATATTGGGCAAAGTTTTCATCTCTGACCTTGCCTCTTGACACCACCTAATAGTACTGGGGCTGTACAAAGGGGCCCTAAAAGCCCTGTATCTGGCATAAGGAGGATTCCTGTGGTGCAGGGGGCAGCCGTATATACAAGGTTTACAGTTTGGTTCAATGACTCTCAGCACCCCCAGTATAAAAATTGTTCCAGCACCCCTGGTTGAGGGTGGGAGTGTAACACACAGATTCTGGTCAGCGCTGTGTCTCATAGGGCTGCTCTAATTTAGACTGTCTAAGTTACGCTGGGGACCTCTCTAGCCCCCAGAGCAGCCCAAGATCTTTTGAAGCTTTTAAGTTCAGAGGTGTAGCACAGACGCTCACCCTGGCTCTCTGCACAAAGGTGGGTCTCTCTCTTCCCCCCCGATTTCTGGTAGCTAGACGTAAATCCTTTTTAACTGCGAGAGAGTGAAAAATGTGTATCTTTACCCTGTTATAAAACAATTCCTCCTTCCCTCACCTCCTACCCTCCAAATACATGAGCCAGCTAGAGCAAAAACTACTGAAGTGGAAACTTGGTATAGTCTTAATTCTCATTGATGATTAGTACCTTTGCTTGATTTTTGAAAAATAAAACAAATGGTTTCTGTTTTATAGATTTATGACTGCTTGAAAATTGTACATGAACATTAGAAAATTTTGCGGGTGTGTGCTTAAGGGTGGATATACTGTGCATATGTGTCCATCTAGTTAAGTTCTCACTGGCTGGTTCAAAGTACTTACAAGCTCCACACACTGAATGACTATGGACGAGTAGCTCTCTCACTCTGCTGGTAAAGCCAGTGGAGTTTGTAACTTTCACAAGCTTAATAACTAGAGAATTTAGAGTTCCAATAACATAAAGTTATTGGTTGTGTTGCACAAAGTATTCCAGTTTCAAAAGAGACATCAACCTCTGAGAAAGAACGTACTTAAAATATTTCAGTGACAGTCAAGACTGATACTTTCCGAGTAAACATCTGAGTATTCAGCTTTCAGCATTGAGCAGGTATCATAGATAATCATTTGTAGAGTAACCATTAAAAAGACACGTGGATTCACCATTTCAGTAAGGAGTGACCATACGTGTAGGTTCAAAAACCTAAGGGAGAAAAATGGTGTCTCTGTGATAGTTGCAGTGGAGAAAATCTGCACATGTGGCAAAGTGGACAAAGAAAAATTATTTAAAAAACAGATGTAAAAGAATCACTATCTTCTATTTGACAATATTAGTTTTTAAAAGAATAGAAAATCTGAAATGTGTTTTGTGCTTTCTCTGTCTAATAAACTTTTAAAAATGCTGCAGATCAAAAGCCACCCTTGTTTGTCTCACCGTTCTAATGATGATTACTGCAAGATTTTTTTGTGACTTTGACATTAGATTCTGTTAGTTTACACAGAGCCTTATGCTTACGCTGATTGTTTTAATGCAGCGAATAAACAACACTGTATGTATCATTAGCCTCTAGGTAGACTGGGAGCTTCAGTTACTGGAATTGATCCTCTGGAGGACAACATTAGAACAGCAGAACAGCACAAGTCATTTGATCCAGTCCTAGCCAAGAGAATACAGTACAAACCGTGTTCACTGGAGGATATTGCAGAAGAGGCTACAGAAACCTTTGATGTAATGGTTGCTTCTGAAGTAGTGGAGCATGTGGCTGACCTAGAAACATTTATCAAGTACTGCTATCAAGTGTTAAAAGTAAGTGTTTGTTTTAATTGTAGGAAATGTTTGTTCCTTCCTTCTTTAATGAAGGTTTTATTTAAAAAGTTAATCAGAGCACATGTAGATCCCAAAGGCCTCTGTGACATCATCACTTAATATTGCAGTAGTACCATGACTCCCATTAGGTTGTACAAGGAAGTACAAGGTCAAAACTTAATGAAAAGTTCTTACAGCCTGATTTTCCACTGGTGGAGGAAGATCTAATAGCTATGTTGATGGTGTCTACAAATATGATTTAACTGTGCACTGAAGTTCTGTCTGCAGTTAAACTTCTGTCTCACGGCATCTTATTCCAACTCAGCATTAAAAGTCAGATGTATTCCTGGATTGCTTTAAAGAGTGCCATGTTTACATTTAGATGTGCTTAGGATTTATTTTATTTTTTCTAGTATTCTTGTTTCTGGTTAGTAGAGGATGACGGTAGGCCCAGTGTGCAGTCTGAGACTCTTCTTTACTTCACAGCCTTGTCAAACTACTCATGCAGGGAACATAGTTTATCTGAATAGGAACCATCGCTCCCTTCTGTCTAATTTCTCATGCCCCTATCATTCTTTTTCTACCAGTGCATAGAACCACTAATATTACTTTTGTTCTTTGAAAGTGTTTACGTTAGGACATACAGAGACTCAATTAAACAAAATTTTATCTAGAAGTATATGAATTGTGTAATGGTATCTCATATTTTGCAATTTATGCTGCTGTACATTATGAAGATTTGCTGGTGACTTAGTGTTATGGCCAAATTCCAGCATGGGGAATTAGTCTACCTACCTACCTAAATAATGCCTATAGTTTCAGTGGGATAAACTAAGTCTTCACTTCTTGTCCAGAACTGCTGTGTAGTGTAACATTGTTGCAGCTGTTAAACAGCACCTGTGTTGTGCTTCACAAATTGCTGCTTGTCAGTGGGTAAAGTGATCTTTCTGTACAATCTGTAAACCGTTTTAAGGTCTTTGAGGATGAACTATGCAATATAGGTTTATTAATGTGCTTATTTTTACAAGAATGCGGAATATATATGAATTGAAATAGCAAGTCAGCCAGTCACGACGCAGCTCACTTCACGATGGCACAAAAGAAAGCCCCCCAAAATGAGCGCTGATTGGCTGCACTATCCGTTTGGCTGCCCTCTGAGCAAACAAGCATTTCCATTAGTAAGTGCCCCACTGATCACACTCGCTGTAGGAGAAATATCCTTGGGCAGTTTTTGCTCTATGGATTTGTGGTGTGGTCAGCAGCCACAGTTAGGTATGAAAATAGCCCAAACTAATCTGCTTGCAGTTGCCATGGAGAAGGGTGTGTATGTTTGTTTAATTTAAATTGAAGTTTAATAAATAAGACCGGATATTGTCTTGTGTTTACTACACACATTCTTATACTTGTAATTCATTCTCTTCTCGGGCATCATTTGCATGTATTGTTTTATAATTTAATTAGGTGTTATCCTTGATTAGCATAGACATTTCTGGGCATGGCTGTTCTTTTTTAATGATCCAAAACCTTGATGATGTTGAGTGTTGGTTAAATGCTGAAAAGACTCAGTCTTCACAAAAAAAAATCACATCCTGATTTTTCTATCCCCTGCAGTTGTCTTAAAACATTTATGTCCATGTATCAGTGAAAGTAGCTTTCATTCCTGCAGCTCCTGGCTTCTAAATGGACACATTCTGTACTTGAAATTCAAAAATGATTAGTCTTGTACTTTTTCATGTGAAAGGTCCTCACACTTTTTGTTTAGTTAAATGTACTGCTAATTGAATATTGTTTTAATATTTTTATTAGCCTGGAGGCTCGTTATTCATTACTACAATCAACAAAACACAGTTGTCCTATATCTTGGGGATTGTAGTTGCAGAGAAAATAATGGGCATTGTACCAGAAGGTACTCATGACTGGGAGAAGTTTATTTCACCTGAAGAGCTAGAATGTCTGCTCGACTCAAGTAAGTGTCAAATAGAATGACGGGAGTGAATAGAGAGATCCAGGTGTTACTGATTATAATGGCAACTGTCTGGGGACTAGATAGCTAGGATGATTGGTAACCTTGAAGTGAAGAGTTCTGTGCTCCTGTTAGCAGCTCAGATTTGGCGTAGGTCAAGCATAGCTAAAAGGCATTACCACATACTGGCTGTTCAGGTGAGTATGTAGAGTTGATGATTTCAGTTCAACTCCAAGCGTACAGAGGTCACTTAAACAAAACCACCGTCACAGCTAGCCTCCTTGTTGATAGCCAAAGCATCAAAAGATGCAAATTCTTGGACTCTTTTTGGAGACAATAGTGTTTCGTTTCTAAGGGTGAGTCCTCTAGATCAGGGTTGAGACACTTGATGAGCTAGTGTCCAAAGGTTGCACTGCTGCTGCACTGTATAAACCAAGGGCTTTTGTCGTCTTCATCTTTCATTAGCCTTATATTTATTAAAACATTTCATTTAAAAACTGTCTGAAGTTGAAAGCTGACCACAGACTTTCCAATAAAACTTGAAAGAGTGTATTATGGTGTCTGGATCAAAATACTAAGTCACACCAATGATCCCGGTTTGGTTGCTTTCCTAAAAGACTGATTTCTGAGGTGTTGGGTTTTTCCCTCAGACGCTCCTTCTCTACAGAAAGTTAAAAATAAAACAAAAACCCACCAGCAAGCACCTCACTTTTCCTGTAACTCGCTGTAAACAAGCTGGTGCCTGAACTCAATTTTTTATCTTTTATCCTGCTGAGTCTGAGATGATGCAGCATCATATGATGAACCTAAGGGATATTAAGAAGGGAGCATAAAATTTCTCTTTATTTACACCGTTTCCTTGATCCATGTTCTTCTTGCCTTATTTTTTTCATTCATAGCTAAATCTCCAGTGTCTTCCATAGATATTGTGACAGGTTGGCTCACAGAACCCCCCTTGGGAACTGCCAACTGATGTGCCAAGACTACTACTGCTCCTGCTTTCCTGCCCTGTCAGCTTAGGACTTCAGTACCCTGCCTGGTTTGAGCCAGACTCGCTAGCCTGCTGCAAACCCAGACCCAGGTCTGAACCATGCCCCCTAACAGCTGTAGGCTTAACTGAAAGCAGCTTACCAGAAGTGTTCCTGTCCTTAACACTCAGATGCCAACTCCCAGTGGGGTCCAAACCCTAAATAAATCCGTTTTAACCTGTATAAAGCTTATACAGGGTAAACTCATAAATTGTTCACCCTCTATAACACTGATAGAGAGATATGCACAGCTGTTTCTCCCCCTCCCCACCGCCCGGTATTAATACATACTCTGTGTTAATTAATAAGTAAAAAGTGATTTTATTAAATACAGAAAGTAGGATTTAAGTGGTTCCAAGTAGTAACAGACAGAACAAAGTGAATTACGAAGCAAAATAAAATAAAACATGCAAGTCTATGTCTAGTACAGTAATAAAACTGAATACAGATAAAAACCTCACCAGTTCCAAAAAGAAAAGGAGTACTTGTGGCACCTTAGAGACTAACAAATTTATTTGAGCATAAGCTTTCGTGAGCTACAGCTCACTGCATCATCGGATGCAGTGAGCTGTAGCTCACGAAAGCTTATGCTCAAATAAATTGGTTAGTCTCTAAGGTGCCACAAGTACTCCTTTTCTTTTTGCGAAGACAGATTAACACGGCTGCTACTCTGAAACCTGTCACCAGTTCCAGTAAGCTTTCTTTTACAGACTAATCTCCTTCTAGTCTGCGTCCAGCAATCACTCACACCCCCTGTAGTTACTGTCCTTTGTTCCAGTTTCTTTCAGGTGTCTTTGGGGGTAGAGAGGCTCTCTTTTTAGCCAGCTGACGACAAAATGGAGGGGTCTCCCTGGGGTTTAAATAGACTTTCTCTTGTGGGTAGAGACCCCCTCCTCTCTCCTGTGCAAAGTCCAGCTACAAAATGGAGTTTTGGAGTCACCTGGGCAAGTCACATGTCCAAGCATGATTGAGTTCCTTACCGGCCAAGCCACGTTCCTGGGAAAGCCCAGATGTGGATTGGCGTCTCCAGGTTCATTGTTGGCTTAAGGGCTCTTGATTGGGCACTTACTGAGAATAGTCTTTTCTCAGGAAGCTGACCAACTGCTTCATTAAAACCTACTCAGAATCAAACAAGTATACAGCCAATGTTCATAACTTCAAATACAAAAATGATACATGCATACAAGTAGGATTAATAGATCCAGTAGATCATAGCCTCTACAGAGATATGTTACATGGCACATGTAGCATAAAACATATTCCAGTTATGTCATATATACATTCATAAGCATATCTCCATAAAGCCTTATGGGGGGCGCCGTCACAGGTATATTCAGTTTATCAGTTTTGAAGTGGATGACCTGAATCTGCAAAACTTGAGCAACTATAAATATGCTTCTGATGACTCAGTGTTGTTGCTCTAAAGCTCAGTGGAAGAATGTATATTTAGAACTTGCTATTTTTTTAGAGCTTGATGTTTTATTGACTTAGAATGTATGAGGATCGCCATCTTTTTTCCCTTTCTTTTACAGATGGCTTTTTAGTCAAGACAGTGAATGGAATGTCATACAACCCCTTCTCAGGGTCCTGGAGTTGGACTGAAAGCACTAGCATTAACTATGCGGTGCATGCCATGAAAACTAGGGTAAAAGAACAATCAAATTCAAGAGAGCCACCTTCAGAGACAGATAAGGAGGAGCACCTAGCCGAAGCTAATGCCAGCACAACTGTCTGAGACACGGTAGTAGGCAAGCAGCAAGGAGTTGAAGGAAGATTTGCATAAATGGTTGTAATAAAACTGTTCGTTTGCAACAAGTCTGCTGTTCATATACATGGCAGTTAAGATGTTTTTGCCAATCTGTTTCAATGTAGTCTGGGGGGAGAACAATTGTTTATTCTCTCAGGAATCATGTAGGATTAAGATGGGAAAGTTTTTGGAGAGCTCTTTTATGAGAAAATAATTTCAAACCTTCAGATTATTCTGTCAGTATTTGTGTACGATGGCTTTTACAGTCCTACCAAGAAAACACAAGTTTCAACAGGACTCCAGAGAGTAATGGGTTGATGCTGAGTTCAATGTGGAGTCACTTTTAAAAACGCAATACACTGTGTAAATAGAAGGATTTAAGCAGTTTTTAAATTAAACTACCCAAGTGCGCTGTTCAGAAACTTGTTTCTGTATTTAATTAATTGTTAAAACACCAAAACCCTCTTTTCCTCCTTCCGTTCTGGATATTCCAACTGTGGGAAAAGAAGGGACGGGTAGTGACATAGGAGCTCCTGCTCTGTCTCCGCGCCACTGGTGTGAGCCGTCCATGGCTGGTTACACTAGTACTGCAGTCTGGTTCAGCGATGGCAACACCACACTTGGGAATCTGGTCTCTGAATGTCAACCTGTCTCACCCTCCAAAAATGGGACCTGTTACCAGGTCCTTCATATTTAAGTAAAATCGTCACAATTTAAACAGTCACTTTTGTAGCATAAAGCAGCAGTTATCAGGCCATCAGTTCGTTTACAATCTGTTATAGAATCTAAATTATGTGAGTGGCACAATCCTTTACCTACTTCACTGAGCTGATAGGAGGTGTTCTTGGTAAAAAGCTATTCTGCTCTGAAATGTGAGTCTCTAAATAAAATGGTGTTGCATGTGTCCATGATCATCTGTCTCCAATTTTATTTTTATCAGATGTGCTCAGTTTACACATAAAGAGATGGGGTTGTTTTATTTTCCTAACTGCAGCCCTGCAAACTCAGCCTGGGATCTGAAAGTCAGCTGGGTTCTCTCTTTGTCGTGCATCATCCCTTTAAAAGGTTCAGCAGCTCAAATTAACCTCTCTGCTTTGTGTAGCTCTTTGCACAAATGCAACTGGCCTTGTAATTGGAATTTAGTAGATGATTTGATGCACAAAATATATAGAATCCAGTTTGATTAATCTATTTTTGGCTTTTGATTAATCTATTTTTGGAATTGTCAGAAATTAATAGATTTTTTTTTTTAAAGCCAGAAGCAACTGGTATGGTCATCTAGTCTGACTATATGCATAACAGGCCATAGAACTACACCCATCAATTTTGGCATCCAGCCCATAATTTCTCTTTGAGCTATAGCATTGCTTTTAGAAAGATGTCCAGTCTCAATTTAAAGGCTTCAGGTAATTGAGAATCCACCATGGCCCCAGGTAAGTTGTTCTAGTGGTTAATTGTCATAATTATACAAATTTTCACCTTATTTGTAGTCAAATTTGTCTGTCTCATATTACAACAATGGGATCTCATGCCTTTTTCTCCTTGATTGAAGAGCCCTTTACTATCAGAAATCTCTCCCCCATGCAGGTACTTATAGTTTGTTATTAAGTCGTCACCTGTTCGCTTTCTCTTGGATAAACTAAATAGACCGAGGTTCTTCAGCCATTCACTTAAAGGCATTTCTTCCCAGACCTCAAATAACTCTTGTAATTCTCTTCTGAACCCTTTCTCATGTTCCAGCATTCTTTGTGAAGAGTGGCCACCAGAGTTGGACAACAGTATTCCAGTAATGAGTCTCACTTATGCTATATGGGGAGGTAATACATCTTCTTACTCCTACTTGATGTTATTCTACTTCACATCCAAGGGTTGCATTGCTCTCTTATCTATAGCATTGCACTGAGAGCTCATGTTTCATTGATTATCCACCATGACTTCCAATTCCTTTTCAGTATCTCTGCATTCTAGGATACTGAATGTAGGATCTTATGTGACTTACATTCTTTGTTCTAGATGTATGGCTTTGCGTTATGCTGTGTTAAAATATAGTGTTTAAGCGAGGCTGCCTTACCAAGTGATCCAGGTTGGTCTGTGTAAGTGACCTGTCCCCATCAAAATTTACCATATGATGGGGTGTACAAACCCCACATTAGAACTGAAGGGCAAGTCTGGACCACCCTAGATGACCCTGCCTAGCCACACCTGCAGACCATGGTCCAGATGGAGCTGGAACTTAAAAGGAAGCCACACAGCTCAGAAAGGGGCCTGACAAGGCAGGGAGAGGAAGCTGCCCTGGGAACTCCTTAGAAGGGACTCTGCAGCAGCCTTATCTTGGGAAAGAAGGGTCTGCCTGCTGGGCCCAGACTGACTGAAGGTGCAGTTAGTATTTTTTTCTATTATCATTTCACTACAGGCTGCAAAACTTGGACGATAGAGGGATGGTAAGAAGTGGCCCAACGAGGGCAGCCATAAGGTGCTCTGGGATGCTGGACCTTTGGTAGCCCTTACAGTGCCCTGGGCTGGAGCCTGGTGGAATGGGAAGACCCGGCCTCTCCTACCAACTCCCCTTTTTGCATTCAGAAGGGCTTGATCCATTAGGCAACACTTCCAGCGAGCACCAACCATCACATATCACTCCACTCATGTTTGCCGATGACACAGTGTTTTTATATTTTCTTCCAAATCATTGATAAAAATGTTGAATAGCATGAGGCTTAGAGCAGATCGCTGTGGGTGTCCACTAGAAATACCCCCCTAGAATGATAATTTCCCAGCATGGATTTATCAAGAACAAATCGTGTCAAATTAACTTAATAGCTTTCTTTGACAGGGTAACAAGCTTCATGGATGGGGGAAGCGGTAGATGTGGTATAGCTTGACTTTAATATGGCTTTTGATATTGTCTCACATGACCATCTCATAAACAAACTAGGGAAATACAACCTAGCTGAAGCTACTATATGGTGGGTACATAACTGGTTGGAAAGCCATTCCCAGAGAGTAGTTATCAGTGGTTCATAGTCAAGCTGGAAGGGCATAACGAGTAGGGTCCCGCCAGGATCAGTTCTCAGTCTGATTCTGTTCAATATCTTCATTAATGATTTAGATAATGGGATAGAAAGTACACATAAAGTTTGCAGACGATACCAAGCTGGGAGGTGTTGCAAGTGCTTGGGAGGGTAGGATTAACATTCAAACTGATCTGGCCAAACTGAAGAAATGGTCTGAAGTAAATAAGATGAAATTCAATAAGGACAAATGCAAAGTACTCCACTTAGGAAGGAACAATCAGTTGCACACAGTGGTGAGTTGGAGCTGGTTCTCACCGGTTCGCGCGAACCGGTTGTTAAATTTTGAAGCCGGTTTAGAACCAGTTGTTAAAAGGTGGGCAAACTCCTGCCCACGGGCCACATCCGGCCCGCAGGACCGTCCTGTCTGGCCCACCTGAGCTCCCGGCTGGGGAGGCTTCCCTGGCTGAGAATCCCTTTTTAATTTTTACTCACCCGGCGGCAGGTGCTCTGGGTCTTCGGCAGCACTTCGGCGGCGGGTCCTTCAGTGCCACCGAAGACCCGGAGCGAGTGAAGGACCCGCTGCCGAAGACCCGGAGCGACTGAAGGAACCGGTTCTTCAGTTTTTGGCAGCTCATCACTGGTTTCACACATATAAAATGGGAAATGACTGCCAAAGAAGCAATACTTCAGAAAGGCATCTGGGGCCCTGTCATAAAGGGAAGGGTAACCACCTTTCTGTATAGAGTGCTATAAAATCCCTCCTGGCCAGAGGCAAAACCCTTTTACCTGTAAAGGGTTAAGGAGCTAAGGTAACCTCGCTGGCACCTGACCCAAAACGACCAATGAGGGGACAAGATACTTTCAAATCTGGGGCGGGAGGAACAAAGGGTCTGTGTGTTGCTTTTGCCGGGACCAGATCAGGAGTGCAGCCTTACAACTCCTGTAAAGTTAGTAAATAATCTAGCTAGAACATGCGTTAGATTTTCTTTTGTTTAATGGCTGGTAAAATAAGCTGTGTCTTTTTGTAATTTAATTGCCTAGAGGGATTCTCTATGTTTTGAATCTGATTACCCTGTAAGGTATTTACCATCCTGATTTTACAGAGGTGATTCTTTTACCTTTTCTTTAATTAAAATTCTTCTTTTAAGATTGATTTTTCATCATTCTATAGATCCAAGGGTTTGGGTCTGTGTTCACCTGTACCAATTGGTGAGGATTCTTATCAAGCCTTCCCCAGGAAAGGGGGTGTAGGGCTTGAGGGGGAAGACATCTCCAAGTGGGCTCTTTCCCTGTTCTTTGTTTAAAACGCTTGGTGGTGGCAGCATACGGTTCAAAGACAAGGCAAAGTTTATACCTTGGGGAAGTTTTTAACCTAAACTGGTAAGAATAAGCTTAGGGGGTCTTTCATGCAGGTCCCCACATCTGTACCTTAGAGTTCAGAGTGGGGAAGGGACCTTGTGGATTACAAGTTAAATATGCGTGAATAATATAATACTGGAAAAAATAGAAAACCTCATTCTGGAACATATTAGCAGGAATGTTGTAAGCAAGACACAAGAAGTAATTCTTCCGCTCTACTCCATGCTACTATGGCCTTAAATGAAGTTCTGTGTCCAGTTCTGGGTGCCACATTTCAGGAAAGATGTGGACAAATTGGAGAAAGTCCAGAGAAGAAAAACAACAACGATTAAAGGTCTAGAAAACATGACCTATGAGGGAAGAATGAAAAATCTATGTTTGTTTAGTCTGGAAAAGAGAACTGCGCGGGGACATAACAGTTTTCAAGTACATAAAAGGTTGTTACAAGGAGGAGAGAGAAAAATTGTTCTCTTTAACCTCTGAGGATAGGGCAAGAAGCAATGGGCTTAAATTGCAGAAAGGGCGGTTTAGGTTGGACATTAGGAAAAAGTTCCTAACTCTCAGGATGGCTAACCACTGGAATAAATTGCCTAAAGAGGTTGTGGAATCTCCATCACTGGAGATTTTTGAGAGCAGGTTAGACAAACACCTGTCAGGAATAGTCTAGATCAACGGTTCTCAAACTGGGGGTCATGACACCTCAGGGGGTCACAAGGTGCTAACATGGGGTCATGAGCTGTGAACTCTTCGGGGCTGACAGCTTCCAGCCCCCATTAAATTAAATTACCCCTCCCATTTTTAATGTATAAGGGGGGGAGGGGTGTCACATTCAGAAGCTTGCTGTGTGAAAGGGGTCACCAATACAAAAAGTTTGAAAACCATTGGTCTGCCATGAGTGCAGAGGACTGGACTAGATAACCTCTCGAGGTCCCTACCAGTTCTGATTCTATGATTGCAAAGTTCTTATCAGGTTTGAAGCTGTGATGGAATAAACTGCTAGTTTGCAAAATCTCTCTGGAAATTACCCAAACAGCTTTGGGGTCATCAGTCTTTGTTTAGAGCTTCGTTTTTAGAAATCCAGTTCAGAGAAATGAAGCAGGATATGAAGACAAAATGGAGATGTTTCCAGGGTCTTTTATACCCTCTGCCACGTGGATGGAATTTTACTGTTCCAAACAAAGCCCACAGCATAGTTTGTGGAAAAGTACAGGCACAAGGTGGCGTCCACGGTCGCATGAGCAAGTCACATGCACTTACATGGCTTTGATGACTCACAGGAGCAGCCAGTGCCAACTTGGAGGCTAAGGCGACCACAGGAAGACTTTCTGGGTGGGACAAGTTTCTTCTGGGGCCCATTGTGCAAGTAATTTGCCTTTGAGGAACCATCAACACAAAGCTGTCTTGCTTCAATGTAGATTTTTACCTGATGGGTGTTACCCCAGGAACAAACACATTTGGGATACAGATGTATAGCCAATATTCATAACTTCAGATACATGCATATAAATAGAATAATCACACTTCGTAAATCATAACTTTTG